ACATTCACAGGAAGGCCCAGTGTTAAGCCACTGGGCTCAGTGTCTTAGTTTCCAAATATCCCAACTATTTTTCCAAGGTTGGTTTTTGTTTTGTTTTTTAAAGTAACTGTTTGCTTCTAGCATTGCTAGTTACAGGAGGGTCCAAAAGCTGTTAATTTCCCGCCATGCTCTCATTGCCAGTTATAAGCCTTCATAAAAGGGACAGGAGAATCTCTACCCTAGTGCTGCAGAAAAAAATCTAGAAACATACTACATTAAATTGCTCAGGCAAGTGAGGTATCCAGCAATGGTCTTCAGAATAAAAAATAAATAAATAAATAAAAATAGGGTCTATCAATTAGAGAAGTGGCGCTTGGAGCCTATGTGCTGGCATGCCTACAGTTTTTTTTTTAATGTCTGGCAGGATGTTTTACAAACTAAACTCAGCAAGATTACAATTCCACCAGAAGGTGGTTCAGATGGTTTTGCTAATAATTTTGATCAGCTGAAATGGAGAAAAACATCGTTTCATTTATTTGGCTTTTCAAAAAACTGTCAAGTGTAAGCAAGACCATTAATCGCCCCCTCCTGAATACCCCCCTCCACCTGGGGGGAGGGAGGGAAAGGGAACAAAACAAAAAAACCCCAAACAAACCACATTTACATTTGTTTCCTTATGAAACTAGTCTGTAAAACCAGCCTTTGTCTCCAAAGCTAAGCTTGGTCATTCTTTCTGCATTTCCTTTGCTAGAAGGAAGTACATGTTTCTTCAGAAAATTCACTGAAGGCTGGTATTGCTCCTGCTGCAAACATGTAAGTGCTAACCACCATATATTGGCTTTTGTTTTAATAGCCTTTTAACCAACTTTGTTAATGGACTGAATGCAATTTAGATATGGAACTTGGCTAAAACGTAGCTTCAATTGGCTATTAAAATTTAAGAGCCAACTAAGATAGCTAATTACAAAAAAGCTCCAGTGATAATGCTAAGCAGAATTGGTAATAGCAAATGACAGTCTGTCTAGTCTTATTCCCAAAGGGAAAGAAACTCTTAACTGAGAAGTCAACCAGACAATGTGCAGAAAACTTAATTGCATTACTGGTATTATGGCATCCCAAATCTGGCAGCTCACTGGGACAAAACAGTGAGTAAAGTCTGTCAAACTACTCAGGAAAGCAACTGACCCTTTTTATATATTAGCTGCAGCAGATTCCACAAATTATTGCTTTAAGGTCTAACCTTTTAGGAAAAAATCCCGTAAATAAACCATTGAGATTTAAGACCATCAACAAAGTATCATAAAAAAACCTTTATACCTATCCTGAATTAGATTCTCCCTCCAGATATTTTAAATTAGAAAAAATATAAACAACTATTTGTCTCCTAAATATTCACACACTAAAAGCATTCTTTGCTTCATTATCAATACTCTCATTACACCATCAGTTGAAGTACAGACTAGTTCTCCTATGAAGATTTATCATGTATGGTGGCCACTTTGAAAATGTAGGTAGTAGAGTCTTTAACATTCTCTACTCAAGTGTCTCCCTGCTGTGCCTGTAAATGTCAGTCCAGTTTTTTCACGGCTGTGCGCACAGATTAGAAACAGCAGGAGAGCTTGGGAGTATGACTACAATACCAGTAAGGACACTTGTCTTCATGGCACTGCTCAAGTGATTCTTGGAATGCAGGACCCTGCTGTTTTCTAATATTTACACACAACTGGAGTCATCAAGAGCAGTAAATGCAGTCTAAAGGCAGCTTGCTTCTTTTGTGTTAGGGGCTTTACATTCATTCAAATGGGAACGTCAACAAAAAGTACATCCCCCCCCACCCCGTAAGCTGTGTATTTCCCTACCATTTTGCAATACAAATATAACTATGCACACAGTATTATCAAAACCTTCCTCTTTGCTCTTCCTTACCTTCCTCACCTGTTAAGGATCACTGAAGTTCACAGGGAGTTGCCAGAGCTTCTTGACCACTAGTTATTGTGCTTTGACAAGAGCAGACACAGCCTGATAAACTATTCACCTGGACTCTAAAGTGCTTTTTTGCTTCTTAGAACATTTTATAGGAAGCACTTCACTCAAGATACTATTCTTTTTTGTTACCAAGACCTGAGATTAGTGTATTTTAATCTCAGGATCTGAGGCAGAGGAATTTGAAAAAACTCAGCGCATCTTAGGAGACTTTCTTCTCACATACCCTAAAATTTCTGTGTGTGTTGAAGTTTGGTCTTATTGTATCAAACAGAAGTCTAGTCCTGGATGGGTGAGAGGATTTGGAAGAGTGGTGACATACCAGTAAAATTCACATGCATTGTAATTTAATGTTCAATAATCAACAATAAAATATAAAAGGAGAGTGAATAATGCTACCTTTGAATCATAGAATGATGAATAATGCTACCTTTGAATCATCAGGGTTGTAAAGGACCTCAGGAGGTCATCTAGTCCAAACCCCTGCTCAAAGCAGGAACATCCCCAACTAGATCATCCCAGCCAAAGTCTTGTCTAGCCAGGTCTTGACAATTTCCAAGAATGGAAACCTCTCTGGATGACCTGTTCCAGTGTTTTACTACCCTCCTAGTGAAAAAATTCCCAATATCTAACCTAAACTTCCCTTGCTGCAACTTGAGACCATTGCTCCTTGTTCTGTCATCACTAAGAACAGTCCAGCTCCATTCTCTTTTAAACCCCCTCCCCTTCAGGTAGTTGAAGGCTGCTATTAAATCCTCTGTCCTCTTCTCTTCTCTAGACTAAATAAACCCAGTTCCCCAGCCTCTCCTCGTAAGTCATGTGCCTCCGTCCCTGAACCATTTTGTTGCCCTCAGATGCACTCTTTAATTTGTCCACATCCTTTCTGTGGTGGGGAGTCCAAAACTGAACACAGTATTCCAGATGTGGCCTCACCAATGCCAAACAGAAGGCAACAATCACTTCTCCTGACCTACTGGCAACACACCTATTCCCTGACAGCAACAAATTACAATTTCTGTTTTCTTGCCAACAATATTTATTTAGCTGGCTGTAAGATAGGTCAGGGATGGCATCTTAGAGCAGTGTTCCCCAAGCTTTTGATATTTGGGGCCAATTTTTTTCTGGAATAAAATTAGCAGCACACTTCACTCTTTCACCTGAAAAGTTACACACATAAATCCACACAGTGGTGGCCACCGCCCCCCCAACCAAATGAGCAGTGCCAAGTTGGTCCATGAGCCAGATGTGGTTTGTGGACCTGATCCTACCACATGGGGCTGATTGGTGAGGACACAAATCCCACTCTAGATGTGGAGATTCACGCACATTTCTAGAGCTTAGAAATTTGGCAGTGACAGATCAATGGTAATGTTACTTGCCTGTGCTTTTCCACTGCCAGATTTCCAGACCCATGGGGAGTACCACAGATCAAATGACATGACTCCACAGGCCAGATCTGATACCAAAAGTATCATTTTTCACAACATTTCCACCCTCTTGCAGTACCCTTTGAGAGAGAAAGTGAGTAGCAGCCTTCCCTTTATCCTGGGAAAGAAAACTCCATGGAATTCAATGCATTAATATATGGTAAACCACTAACCTTGTAAAGTCTTGTCATGTTTCTTTTATACCTATGCAAATACACAGAAAGCCTCCTGTATATTTCTTCCATCATACAATGACCAGGGCAAATGTCAGGTGGCAGTAGATGGTATCCAGTTTTCCATTTTAAAAAGTTGCAATTTTATAAACACAAAATTTTCTTGTTTAAAGGGAAAAGAAAATCTGATTGATAATTTAATCATTGAAACGCACACACTTTATATTCCAGCATCCTTGTTTATTTCAGAATGTGGACAGTTGGATAACTAACATTATATAAGCATTTAAATTAGCAAGAACGAACAGTGGTATACCAATAAAGTTCACTTACTCCTATATGCTGCTGAAACAGTTTGCCATTTTTTGTAAAGCAGTTTTCTTCAGAAGACTTATGTCCATTGTTCCAGTTTAAAAGAAAGTTACTTGCATTACCTAAGTGCAAAAGGTTTTCAAGCTTCAGGGTAAAACACTGATCTCCATACTTGATCTCAAAACTTCCCCAGAAATACTTGGGATTAGGAAGCGGGCAGGGGAAGAAAAGAAAACAAGGCAGTTCAGCATAAAAGTGCTTTAAAAATGGAATCAAAAATTTTTAAAAAGTCATCTTACCAAGCAGCAAGGACAAAAGATGATTTTCATGTGATAATTAAGCACAAGTCAAGCTTTCCCTAAAGTAAGAAAGGAAAGTGTAAGAAAATGGAAAATGTGTAAGTAAAAAAAGTTACATAAAAAAGGGAAAAAAGTGGGCTCATACCCTTCCTTGCTTCTTTTTTGGTAAAAATAAAACATGGTGTTTTGTAGGGTTTCCAACAGAAATTCAGGTCTTGCCTAGTGTCTTTCCCCTAGGAGACTACGGATACCTAGAGAATTGATATGAAGACGGCATTATTAGGCAAAGGAAACTCGATGAACTGAAGTTCAGCCACATTACAAAATTTAAATGCGTCAGAAAATGGTTTTCAGCAATTTCATTACATAAACACAGGTGTAAGAGGAAATAACCAATGTGATTGCTGAAATCTGTACTTCAACATTAAATTTTGTAGTGTAAGCCAAGCTTGACTGAATTAAGTGATAAAACAAACACCTGTGAAATAGTTGAACAAAAGGTATCTAATTATTTGCTATTTCTTCCCCTCTAATTAGTGCTACATCTACATATCAGACCTCCAATAAGTGTTCATGCAAAACCAGGGAAGACTAGAAGCAACATTGCTAATATTTCTAAGAAACGAACATAAAAGGAAAAGGGAAAAAAGACCCCTCAAATGGTTGTGGGCTCCCTTTCCAAGTTATAAAGCAGCAAAAAAATTTCATGTCTCAATAGTAATCTGAAGGGGAAAAAAAGAATTTGTACAAACTAAAATCAACTTCATTTCAAAGTTCGGAAAAAATTCTGTATTTATGAGAATTAAATTGTACATAGTGTGCACAAATATTTTATTAAAACATTTATTCTTCAAAAGCAGGTACAAACTTCAGCAGTTGTCATACAAATCCTGTAAAATAACTGAATGTTTAAAAAAAAGGAAAGAAAAATTCCAGTGCTACAGGAATTGAACAAAGAATAGTTGGACAAAAGAACACGTTATTTTGGTTCATCTACTTCTGGACTCTCTTTTTAGTTCTTGGGTTTTTCTTAGTTATCGGTGAGATCGCCTTTGTTTTGGTTGCTCCTGACTCTGTAGTTCAAAACACAAACAAAAGTCAAGTCACTCTTTATATACTAAAGGATAGCAAGAAGGTTCATGGCAAAATAAGTTTTTCACAGCATTTTAAAAGGGTAAACGCAAATAAAATTAGTAATTAGACTTTAATTTATACTACAAATTAGATAACTCATCCCAGGCTCTCAATATCCATAACCATCTTTTTAAAGATATATATAGTTAGATGAAAGCCCAGTCTTGCTCTCAGACTGTCGATTATTCTATAACACTTTGGTAACAAACTGACATCTAAACAGGACACTGCCAGAAATTCCTCAAGCTTCTCATTTTTCCCCATTATTAAAAAATGAAGCTTAAACAACAAAAAATTGGCTCCACCTTTCTTCAGAGGATCCAGGTCGTTTGAAGGAAAGTAAGCTGCAAACTGGACAGTCTGTCTTCTTTATAAAGAAACAGAATTGGATGCAAAAATCATTGCAGTCTTACTGATACTTTTCTGCCCAACAGAAAGGACACGAAAAATTGACATAAATCAGAACAAGTGGCAGTCACAGCAAACAAAAATAAAATATCTGAATAAAAATTAAGCATACGTGACCATTTCCAGAAATGTAGAGACCATTCAAAATCAGTATTATGCCATTTAATAGTACTACTTCTCATTTCTTACTATCATATCCGTGACCAAATCAGGTAGAGCTAGGTTTGTGTTCAATTGGAAGGCATTTTAAGAGGGGCTGATTGCTTAACAGAGGAAGCCAGGGCTAATTCAAGTTGTGTACATAATCAATTTTGATTTGGTGCCTGAGTTGACCAATAAGAAAAACCTGAGATGACTGGCTGTGTGGATGTGGGAAGCAGTGGACATGATATATCTTGATTTTAGCAACGTTTTTGATACGGTGTCCCACAATATTCTCACAAGCAAGCTAAAGAAGTATGGGTTAGATGAATGGACTGTAAGGTGGATAGAAAACTGGCTGGATCATCAGGCTCAGACAGTAGTAATCAATGGCTCTCTATAGCTGGCAGCTAGCCTCAAGTGGAGTGCCCCAGGGGTCAGTCCTAGGGCCAGTTTTATTCAATGTTTTCATTAATTACCTGAAAGATGGCATAGAGTGCACCCTCAGCAACTTTGCAGATGACACCAAGCTGGGAAGAGTAGTAGATACACTAGAGGGTAGGGCTAGGATTCAGAGGGACCTTGACAAATTGGACGATTGGACCAAAAGAAATCTCATGAGGTTCAATAAGGACAAGCACAAAGTCCTGCACTTAGAACAATCCCATGCACCGGTACAAGCTGGGGACTGGTTGGCTAAACAGCAGCTCTGCAGAAACCTGGGGGTTACAGTGGACAATAAGCTTAACATAAGCCAAGTGTGCCCTTGTTGGGAAGAAGGCTAACAGCATACTGGGCTGCACTGCCAGTAGGTTGAGGGAAGTGATTCTTCCCCTCTATTCGGGACTGGTGAAACCACAGCTGGAGTACCGTGTCCAATTTTGGACCTGGTACTACAGGAAGTATGTGGACAAACTGGAGAGCAGTGGATGGCAATGAAAATAGTTAGGAGGCTGGGGCACATTGATTTATGAGGAGAGATTCAGGGAACTAGGCTTATAACATCTGGAGAAGACAGAGGGAATTAAATAGCAGCCTTCAACTACCTGAAGGAGGGATTCCAAAGAGGATGGACCTGGACTGTTCTCAGTGGTGACAGACAACAGAACAAGAAGCAATGGTTTCAAGTTGCAGCAAGGAAAGTTTAGGTTAGATATAAGGAAAAACTCTCATGAGGAGAGTAGGAAAGCCCTGGAACAGGTTACCCAGAGAGGTTGTGGACTCTCCATCCTTGAAGAATTTTAAGACCTGGCTAAACAAGGGATGGGATGATCTAGTTGGGCAGTGAGCTAGACTAGATGATATCTTGACGCCCCTTCCAACCCTCATTTTCTATGATTCTATTAAATGTTTATGCTGTTTTTCTTTACTTTTATGGCTCAAGCTATTTGTGGAATTCAACCCAAATTTGCAACTGTTTTCAATCACCCCTAAACTAATGCATTTTATCACTGAACATATGTCTAGCCCTCTTATTAATCCTGCACAGCTCTTAGATGCAACCTCTTGTGACAGTAAGTGCAACTGGTTGAGTATTCGATAAAACATTTCTTAATCATTTTATTCAAATCCATTGTTCTTATTCTTGAACTCTGATAAAGGTAAAACAGAAGTGATCAAATTTCTTTTTCCAAAAGAAAAGACAAGCTAATATTTCCCCTTCTACTGGGAGATTCTGAAAACCATTCAGCTTTAGCTAAGATGCTTCCATTAAGAGCAATACTCCACTATTCCACTAACCCATTCAACAGAAAGAGAAGAGAAATGGGGATATTTTATTTTGTTTAAGGCAAGAGTTCATTAAACAATTCCGCTAAGAGAATTAATCCATCCATCTCTCATACCAGAGAGGCCTCCCAGCATGAAAACCAGGACATAAGTGAAAAAATATCAAACATTTTGGCTGTAAGCAGGAAAAAATTAGTTTTCAACTTTATTTGTGTTCAGAAATCACATAACTGAACTAAGTCAAGCAAGAAGACTAGACTGTAAGAGGCAGCCAAGAGGCTCCTGTTACTTGAAGGGAAAGGAAGCAACAGGAAAATCCCCAGGTGAGGAGGAGACTGCATGTTATGGACAGGTTGCAGGGGAATAGGCAGCCAGGGACTCGCAGGGTGACACTGTCTACTGTGGGGTTAGCTGTCCAGCAATAGGACAACAGAGCAGAGCCTTGTTTGAGTATTAGGGAGTCTGCTGAAGCAGCAGGGTAGCAGCAGTAAACTGCCCTGAAGGCAACCTGGTCACCAGACCCAGAGAGCATGCCCATCGTGGGTGACTGATGAGTCACCTGACAGGAAGGGGCAGGACTTAGGAGGCACACAAAGCCAGTGCCTGAGACCAAGCAGTGAGTCTGGCTCTGCAGGCTGCCCAGGAAAGAGCTCTGGACCAAAAGGGCTGCTGAGAGATGCCTGGCTGACAGCAGAACTGCTTTGAGGACTGCTAGTATGACGTTGAAGGTTTGCAGAGGAATATAACCCAGGCTAGAAAGAAGTCTTGTAGCCCAGCCAGTGAGCTGGTGGATAATTTGGACCCAGTGTGGGGAGAGTGTGTTACAACTGGAGGGCTAACCCTTTTGTTATCACTTACACCAGTGGCTTGTGAATGGGGCACGTGAGTGGGGTACATTCTGGTTAACCCACAGTGGGGTGCCTGAGGGGCACTGTATTTAACCACAGAGGGGTGCCAGGGGGCACACCAGTGTTTTGGAGTCCTCCGTGGTGCTAGGCTCAAGACAAAGGCAGCTGGAAGCCAAGAAGGCTGACAACCAAGAGAGAAGCAGCCTGAGGTCAAGAAGGCCAGGGGCCCAGAGCCCCAGAAGGGCAGAGACTAGAGCCCAAGAGGGCGAGACTGGGGCTAGAGCATAAAAGCCATGTCTGGCACAGTAGGCCTAAGCAGAAAGGGCCCAGCTAAAGAAAAGGGGTGGAGGCTGGGAAGGCCGAAGCCCCAACAAGGGAAAATGGTTAAATGGCTACACCTGCAAGGTTAGGGTGTGAATGCAGTGGAGGTCTGATGCCATGAATAGAACCTCAAGGCAACAGGTTACCTGGAGGGAGGGCACAGATGGGCCAAGAGGATCCACTTGGCGCATACGGGGCAGGATTGGGACAGCGAGCCTGAGAGGGACCTGCTAGCAGCAGGACAGATGACGGCTTGATCTGGGACCCAAAGGCATTCTCCCTTTTCATCTATCAACTCATTACATCAACACATGGCAGGAAAGGGAACAGGAAGGGGACACAGGGAGCAGAGCAAGAGTCACAAGGCCACCAGGGGGAGGAGTCACAGCTGCCCCTGGGGCCCAGTCTTGTTACAGAAAGCAGAAAATAATTTGCCACAAAGTCCCAAATAACAGACTAACCTAGAGATGGACTGAGAACCTAAAGAGGGAAGAAAACATTGTTTACTTAATCAGTTAAGACAGAAAAAATACTACTAAGGAAAAATATGTCATTGACAAAATTCCTTTAATGGGCTAAAACAGGGGTTCCCAAACTGTGGTATGTGTACTCCTGGGGCTACAAAAGACATCTCTGGGGGTACACAGGAGAAATTGGGTAGTGGCAAATTTAATTTTAATTATTATTATAGGCATTTAAGGGGTATGCTGCTAGGGGTACGCAGACAGCTGGTAAATCTGGAAGGGGGTACACTAAGAACAAATTTAGTAACCTCTGGTCTAAAAGAAGCTGGTCACAAGCAAGGTATAGAAGATTTCCTAGAAGATAGGATTGCATATCTCACTCTTGCACAGTTCAATCGTCTAGGACACAGTATTTTATGGACAAGAAGAGGGCAGGTGTGTGTGCGTGCCACTACACAGCTTATTTCAAGACTGGGAACAACAGACAGATACGCCAGGACTAAGTTTAAGACTCTCCTTTTTAAGAGTTTAAGGCTCAGGGGAAAAGTTGGAAAGTAGAGGCATATTGTGACATACCAACAGTGAAATACTGCAGTGCAGTGCAGTGTTTTGAGAAATGTCCAAAAGACTGAAGGATACATAAAGAACAGGAGGCTCCTTCACTTCAGAACAGAAAAACAAAGTATTATTGACTTGTACTGACTCTGGTACTCTGTTTGGTTGAGACACTGAGAAACTGGAGTTCCAAGGCCCAGCATTTACAGCCTGCTTAAAGAGAGTGGGGAAAGGTGAGTCATTCTGAGAAGGAGAGTAGTTCCTGAGGATTTTAAACAATTTCTAGGCTGCATCAATGGAACCAATGCTCATGGGTTTAGACCAAAGACCATGCTCCAGCTTGCTTGGACATGGCAGAAACAGCATGCATACCATTCTACAGCTTAGCAAGAGCAGCACCTGCTTAGAATAGACTCTTCCAGTGGAAAACTTCCAGCAAAGGTAATAAGACCAGTGGGAATTTTGAAAAGTTAA